ATGTTGGGATTTATTAGTGCATTTATGATCAGCGCTGCTATTTATTTCTGCCTGGACTTTTAGTTCTGGTCATTAGTATCTAATGATTCTCTTCCATATTTAATTCAAATGTGTACAACATTGGGCAGTTGACTAAGCCTGGGTTTTAATGAAATAGAAAAGCTCTGTTTTATTCAATTTGCATCACCTTCTGTTTCACTATGTGGTGACAGACACATACATTTGCATGTCAGAATTTTGTCAGTTGCAGCCATCTGCCAAAGTTGGAGACTCAGGAAATAAAATAGTTTCAAAGTGACTGTGGAACTTCCAGAAAAAGAATCCCAAATCCAATGCACTTATTTGTTAGAGAGAATTGTATACAAACTAAGCTACATATTAGAAGATGTAAATATATATTAACAAACAGAAGTGATAGCCAAGAGCAGAAAGGAACACTTAGAATGAGAGAAAAGTACCAGACAATTTAAAACAGGCATAAGAACCTTATTTCCTCTGAATTTCCAAGGTAACACACCTTGCTAATGAGTGTTCATAAGTCTAATTCTGGACCATCAGCAAGATGGTATACTGTGATTAATACACATTGTTTAATGTGGTGGGACAATGTACATTGTAGATGACCATCATGAAAACAATTACATGAGAAGCATGTTTGGGCATTTTAATAGACAAGTTTCAGTTTCTTATAAAATTAATCTATGAAGTACATATCAATCAGTCCATAGTGAATAGATCTTCAGAGTTCGAAGGCTAACATTTTCCCTGTTTTCACACTCACACTCAAAATGTGAATTTCATGTATGTTTATACATGTGTGTGGAGAGAGAGAGAGAGAGAATGAGAATTATTTTGTCAGTGACTTTCCCAAGTAGAGAACTGTATTAGTCTGTTTTGTGTTGTTGTAACAGAAATACCTGAAACTGGGTAATTTATAAAGAACAAAGGTCTATTTGGCTTACGATTCTGGGACAGCTGCATCTGGCACGGGCCTCAGGCTGCTTCTACTCATGGCAGAAAAGCGACAGGCAGCTGGTCGGTACAAGCAGATCACATGGCGAGAGGAAGAAAGAGAGAGAGAGAGGAGGTGCCTGGGTCCTATAAACAACCAGCTCTCAGGGGAACTAATAGAGTGAGAACTCACTCATTAATTCCCCCTCCCACAGGGAGAGCATTAATCCATTCCTGAGGGATCCGCCCACATGACTCAATTAGTTTCCAGCACTGCCACATTGGAGATCAGATTGCCACATGAGTTTTGGCCAGGACCACACATCCGAACTCTATCAAGAACCCTGTGAAATCATAAAAATTGAGAGCAGCCCCAGTCTGATGCCAAAGATTGTGTTATTTCCTATATCAGTCTCCAAGTAATATCATGCCTGACACACTTAAAATGTCTCTCAGTAAGAGTAAATGCAATGGTAGTATTTTCATGAGCTTTGGAAGGCAAAGGGCAGAGGCATATATTTTGGAGCATTCACCATGATCTATATATCTATATCTATCATTTATCTATATATCTATTATCTATCTTCTAGAGGATTGTGTTCAGGAAAATCTTGCCAAAATAATTCTCTTTAGCCCTATTCAGATAAGCTATACATCACTGAGAGACAGTTTGCTGGCATGGCATAAGTGGTGCGGGTTCTGGAGTTGATGTCACAACTGAAAAACACAAGCATCAAAGTAGAGTGTGTCATACATCTAGGCAGATGGTTCCAGAATTGGATAACTCAGGGGCACGATGATGCCATCCAGAACCTGGGGACTTTCCATCTTTCCACTTGCTCCTTCTGGTCACAAGACAGCAGACACAGCTCCAGGAGTGGCATACTCAAACAAATGGATCCAAAGATGAAACGTCACTTTTTTTTATAGCATGTATTTATAAATGTTTTAACTAAAGAGGAATCTTTTTTCCAGAAGCTCCTCCTCTCCTAGGAGACTTTCCCTGCACCTCCTTTAGTGTTCAGCTACCTCCACAACCCACCCCTAAACCAGTCACTGGTGAGGGAACTAGAGTTCTGGTAATTGATGCTGTGGTGCATGGAGGCAGGAACGGGCACTCTCTGGGGAGGGGAGATGGAAGGCTGGGTGCTGAGACTAATTCCAGCTCTGCCAGCGAGGACGAGGACGACGTGGTGACGTAAGCCATTGAGCAGCCCACCAGTGACGTTCCCCATGTGTGCCAGAGCATGGTAACCCTGCTCCTGTCATAGCGTTAATACCATTCGGCCTTCTCTTATCATTGTTTGTGAGCTATTTTATCCCTTTGGTAGATTTTAGGTTCCTTGAGGATGGGGATTTACTGTTTTCAGCAGCGCACGGTGTGGTCCCTTGCCCTAGAGGGTGCTTAATAAATATTTACTCAATTGATTAGAATTGGCACATGCCAATTAAATTAAAAGCTTTCTTACCTCTTTTTATTGAATCTAAATGCCTTCAGATCAAGTTATTTGTTTGAATATCGACACCCTCCCAGTAAAGTTATGTTTATTCATTCCAGAAAATGATTAAGGGGCCTTAATCATAAAGGTACCGGAATAAAGTTCCTGTGGGTGCTGTGTAATATAAACCCTGTGAGACTGTTTACAATTCTGTGTGGGTGTAGGAGGAAAAAAGAATTCAAATATAAATATGAGTGGGAAAGAAAGCTCGTTTTGAGTCCATTTTATGCATCTGTTAACATTTTGAAGACGGCACAATAGAATGTAGCATCTTAAAGATGATAAAGTGCAAGAAATGACTTGTGTATAAAATCATCGTGACTCTCCACACCAAGCTCCATTAATAAAATGCTACTTAAGAAAACGTATTACTTCAAAAATTTTAAATTCAGTGCATTGTTATACATACCACATAATTTAATTTTAAAAATCGTTTTCCATAAAATGAAATCAAAAGACCAGATTTTGATTACTAGTGTGGTCTGAAGTAAAAAGCCAGTGTTCCAAGTCCTAATTTGTTTTGTAAAATAAACATTTTTCAAGAGTTCATCTTTTTCAATGTAAAGAATTTTTCTTCTGAACTTCCCATCACTAGGTTCAGGTTCAGTGACTGCACATCTTCAGAATTTTCCACTTTATCAGCCATGATAACCGGTGTATAAACTTCCATGTTTTAAAAGGATTTGAGATAGTATAATTTACATTTTTTCTAAAAAGAAATATAGTCCTGATTTGCCTGCCAAATAGTCAATTTGGAGGTGTCAAAGAGCAGTTTCTACCTTATTCAAAAATACACATTTGTAATATGTTCTCTCAAGTGATGTGAAGATTTAAGTTTAATTTAATGCAAAGACATAAATGATTTTTAAAACATTTTATTGTCTGCTAGTGGTACTCGTTTTTAGTTACAGGATTTGCTAAGTAGAGTGATTCGTAGGCACAACTCATTGCGTTCTTGTGACATTCCTGAAAGCAACTGAAATATCTACTTCAGTTCTCTTCTCACGGTCTGATCCTTTAATCCTGAACAAAAATAGCAAAAGGAGCAATTAAGATAATGTACAAACATTCCTAGTGAGTACCAGTTACAATAACACGCACGGCGGCATCTTCATCAAACAACGTACAATCATAAAGTTGAACTCTATAATTTCCGAAGTTCTTTGTTATCTCATTGTCATCAGATACTAGGCCCTACCTTCATGACACTTAAAGCCTATTAGTTGATAATAAAATAACAATTACTAGCTTTTATTGGGTACTTCTTCTATGCCAGGCTCTGAGCTCATCACTTTATCTTATTAGCTGTAAACCAGCTCTAAGAAACTATCAGTATTTGTACTCTAATTTTACACAGGCACAAACTGAGTTTTAAAGAGTTCCAACTACCTGCCCAAAGTCACCTTCCCATAAATACCTCTGGCAAAGTGTGAGCACATTATAAAGTCCATGGTGGTAATTATTAATAAAGAGATAAATTTATTTTCTATGCAAAGAGAGAACATGTACCTTAGACAAGAATAATGAACGATAGGCATCAGATTATTTGGGAATCAATCAATTTTCAAAAATTCTGTCCCATATATCCTTCATAAATGTGCTCACAGTTGTGAAGCCATATATGACATATACTGATTTTTTAATTAGGAAATTGTGGTTTATACTTGGACAGAGGCTTGAAAATTGTCTGATTTAGTCACTTTTCCTTATTTTAAACAAAGGAAAACACCCATAAATTTGAATTAACTCAAGCAATACCGGCTCCTCTTTGGGAGCAAAGCCAGAACTGAAACCCTGGTGTCCTAGCTCCACACCCAGGTAATTCCCACCTCACCGCTCTCTGCTTCTCAGTAGCAAATCATCAATAGCATTTACAAATGGAAATTACATTCGGATATATATGCACAGTAGAATCACATAATGTCATATAGGCAGAAGTGAGGGTTTATTGATGTGGATAAGGGTCATTTCATTGACTTTTCTCTTTCATTTATATGAGCTTCCTGTAACGGAAGATAATTTTGTGCTAAGTTGTGGCAAATTTTTGCTAAAAGCTTAATCCTAACACTGAAAAGCAATCTAACAGTCTGTCTAGCTTAACCTCATCCAAGTTAGATTGAAAACCACTGTACACAGGTAATCTTCCTTTAGGTCTTTAAAGAGGTTTTTCACCTATCTTTTGTAGCGTGTTCAAATATTTGCACCCCCTCACTCTCAAAAATTACCCCCCCTTTTTATCTTCACTGCAATTCTAGCCTATTTTTGCTAGTCAAACCTTTGAAATGTAAAGAGAATTGATATACCCTTATAATATTGCCCTAAAAATTAATAGGTTTCAGTAATATATATTCTGGTAGGAATTCAGCAATTGTAGAATTTAAACCCTCCATAAAAAGTTCTGTCTGTGTATAAAGTTACAACATATGCTTGGACTAATAGGATCACACTACACTGTAGTTGCTGCAACACTGACCCGTGGGTGGTTTGAGAACTTAGAACTCTGGGGTCATTTTGCTGTCCCGCATTCAGTGGATTTGTACCATAGTTGCTTCAAGGCATACTCACCACTTCCTCCCGCTTGGTCTTGTCTGTTGCTGGCCACGCTTCCAGAGGCAGATCAGGAAGCATGGGGGGCAGGGGCTGCATGGGGAACAGCGGAGGCAGAGGTGGCTGTGGCGGCAGGGGATGCATGGGGTGCACAGGAGGCTGGGGCTGCATGGGCTGGTGGGGCTGCATGGGCTGGTGTGGCTGCGGCTGAACGGGCTGGGGCTGGTAGGGTGGCTGGGCGGGCATTGGGAGGTTTGGCTGGTGGTGTTGGGTTGGAGTCATGGAGTGCTGGCCAGGAATTGGCATCATTGGTTGCTGGGGGACCACGGGCTGCTGAGCTGGCACCACTGGGATGTGGTGATGAGGCTGCAGGGTGTGAGTCGGGGGGTGTTGTTGGGACAGCACGGGGATGACTTCGTGGTGCAGCCATCCACCCATGGGTTCGTAACCATAGGAAGGATACTGGTGAGAAACAGAGAATGAGGTTTACCATTGGCTCAGTCGACTTCCAACTGAAGTAGTCTTTTCTTTGCCATTATGACCACAAGAATATCTTATTCATTTTTTTCCTTTGCAAGAATTTCTAACTACGTACACAGATATGACCTTTTACAAACTAAATTTCCCATTAGTGTCTGTATGTGGAGTAGACATGATATTTTACTTAATCTGGGAATTTAAATGCATGCCTAATGTTTTAAGGGAATAAAGAACAAAATATCTACATACCGGTGGCCTTATTATGTTCTGGTACCACTTCAAAGGGGTAAGCACCTTAAAAGAAAGAGACATTAGAATGCATTGGATTTAATTTAGTTTCATCCAATATAGAAACTCACTAATGCAGTATGAAATATAGGCTCACTAATGCAGTCCTACTCACTAATGCAGTCCTGCCAGTATGGATAGACTGAGCATGTGAGTTCTACAAAAGAAAGAAGAAGGTAAGCATTTGTGGGGTGCTTCCTGTGTGTCAGGCACCGTGTTATATCCATCACATACGCTTTCATGTTTTCTCACATGCTCTGAGGCAAGGTGTTTACCCTCCCTGCTATAGATAAGGTCATGGAGAAATAAGGAGGTGCATTATCTTGACTGAAGTTACAAAAGTAGTAATTCTGTTTAATTCCATAGCTCCTGCTCTTCATTGCAAACAAAAAATTATGACATAATAATGTGACAACAGTAATTTCATCCTTTTTTATTTGATGTCACAGTAGGGAAAAAGGGAGGTGGAAGCACTGTCCCTCATCACAGAAACACAGATTTACTGGTTAAATAGGTCAGCCTTTTAAGGTTTAATAGAAAATCTTGCCTAAAATATTTACTAGTATTTTTCTTCAGCTTGTAAGAGTGAACGGACTCACAGATTGTTACCTGAACCTGCGAGAGAAGGAAGAGTTTCATTCCTTTCTGAACAGTATGTACGTGGTTCACCCGAGGTTTGGGGCTAGTAGTACAGCATTTTATCAGCACAACAAAAAATTGTTGACCCTGCTCAAGGTGTGCTTGACAAAGCACTTTTCATATTCATTAACTATTCTACTCTGCAAACAGTATTTTGAAATGTGATTATTATAATTATTTCCCTTCTCCAGATGAGGAAACCAAAGCTCCAGAGAAAGAAAATGATTTGCCCAAGGTCTTGTAGTTAGTAGGGTTGAGGAAAACCTCAAACCCGATTTCTGGAACTCTTTTGCTTACCATTGTTCTGCAGAGTCTCTCATACCACTTAGTCACTAATCTTTCAGTAAAGCCAGTGAGAGACACACTAGAGTGTGAATGTCTTAGAATCTGGAGTTTTTGAGCTGGAAAAGATCTTAAGTAATATTTCACCTAATCCCCACATTTTATAGGCTGGGATAGAACAAGGCCGTTCAGCCAGAGTTCACTTTCTGCCCTACCACGGAGCCTCCCTGAGTGGTAGTTCATGATGGGTACATGTATAGCCATATTGGGGAGGAGAGACTGAGTCAGAGTGGCCAGGGAGGGGGGTACTGGGCCAGGGCAGGCTTAAACTGGGAAGATGGTGCTGGGAACTGTGAAAGTCAGACCATCTGAGAAACACCTTGAATGAAGAATCAACACACTGTCCTTTACAGAGCCCAGGGCATTGTTAACTCAAACAATGGTCAAAATTAGTAAAGAGAAAAATTACCTCATAGCTGAAGTTGATATAACCAGGGTGCCCAGGATGAGGTGGTAGCTTTTATAGGAAGGTGGAAAGGAGGATGGAAAGAGAGAGGGAGTGAGGGAGAGGGGAAGAGAGAGGAAGAGATTAAGTCAATATGCAATTCTTCACATTAAGGAAGACTGAAGCTACTTTTAAAAAACTCTGTACAGTGCAGGATATATTTGAGGTCCACTTTTAGTCTGAGAATATACACTGTGTAGGAGAGGAGCCCGCTCATTGTAAAGAGGTCCAGAACAGCTAACTGACTTCCCTGGGGACTGCAGTCTAAAGGTGGGAAACGTGGAAGCAGAAACCAGCGCACATCTTATTCTCCAGTGATGTACGCTGTGTAGGAGAGGAGCCCGCTCATTGTAAAGAGGTCCAGAACAGCTAACTGACTTCCCTGGGGGCTGCAGTCTAAAGGTGGGAAACGTGGAAGCAGAAACCAGCGCACATCTTATTCTCCAGTGATCTTCAGACCACCCCCTGTATTGTTACTGAATCCTACACCATGCCACCCTCTAGTTTACTTGTTAGTGATGCTCACTCCATGTTGGGGAGAGAGGTTTGTTTCTCTTACACAATTAAGAAATACCAATAAGAAGAGAATTGTCTCCCAAACATTCCCTGGTAGGTCAGGAGGTGATACGGTGCTTAAGTATCACTGGGATTCCTCACAATTGGTATGCAAGGTCGATAACACATCAGCAGCAATGAAAGGAACAACTAGATGCGAATTACTGATACACATGTGGGGCAGTCAAATGGAGACGTGACAAATCCCCTGGAAGATGAAAGGGTTGATTTATGAAGTGTAGGCCAGTCTTTTGTATTATTCTGTCAATGTTTTACGATAGAAACATTTAAAAGTTCCCAAATGATTATCTTAACAGGACTATGTCCTTCCAAAAGTGGGAGCCAAGTGGCTGGGGCCTCCATCATGGAATTCCAGTTGGTCCTGGGGCCCAGGAGAGGCGAGAAAAGAGACAAGAGACTCTCCCTGCATCGAGCCACTTCAGGGCCAGCTCTAGTCTGTTCTTTTTAAATGCTCAAATTTCATACAAGGGTTTGCTCACGCTCATCTGAGTGTGAATTATTTTAGTCAGGTACGGCCTTTCCAGTGCTGTCTTGATACAAGCCCTCAGAGTGGGAGTGCTGAATTGAGGAAAGGAAAAAAGGGCTGAATTGGTAATGCGGGGGTCCCTTGGGGACTAGGAGCACCACACACGGTGAGGGGTTTCAGGAAGGCAGAGCACAGAGTCTTGATCTTGTGGGGGAGAGAGGAAGAGGGGAGGCGGGTATGCAAGCTTGCTGGCTTCTGGTTGTATCAACTGCCCTGTATGCCACCAAACAGCAGCTGAACTTGCTTTGCCTGCAGGGAGTCTAAGCTCTCTGCCCTTATGTACCTGTGTCCAGAGGCAGTTGTCACACTCCCTGGTCCTTGGCACATCTGAACGTAAAGTATCCCAATATTTATTGAGTATAGGGAGGATGCTGGGCAGCCACAAGGGAGCCACGTGCTTAGCAGATGCACCCAAAGGAGTGGGGCAACTGAGAACTGGGAGATGGTTCAAGAAGGGAATTCCTAACACAGAAATTACCCCCTCAAGGATAACAGCACTGGTATTTGGAGGGAAGGAAGAGATCTGGAAACTTGTGAGAAATCGGGTTTTAGAGAAAACTGGTATTTTTGTAGTATTTGCCTAAGGCTGATTAAGCATGTTCTCTGTAGGTCTTTCAAGGGTCCCTTCTGCAAGCTTCTTCCATCCAGAGATGGACAGTGATATTTACAAGCTGACTGCTTCAACAGAATCTCCAGGGCTGCTTGTTAAAAGGTGGAGTCCTGGGTCCCACCCCAGCAGGACTAAATCAGAATATTTGGCCGAGGCATTCTAGAATCTATTTTTCTTAAACTCCATGAGTGTGTTTCTTCAACACAGAGATGTCGGAGGACATCTGACCTTGTACTGTTTTAAACCCTGAAGTTTGCCAACCGTGGGGCAGATTTTTATTCCCAAGCTTGTGAAAAAGGACTTAGGCAAGGGGTGTTTTACTCACGGGCATAGCGAAAGCTGCTCCCAGGAGACAGGCAAACAGAATCCAGGTCCCCATTTCTCACCGGTTCTGGAAAGTAAGGTGACACCTGCTTTTCTTATCTCTTCTCAAACATGGGCATAATTAATGCTCCGTAAAACATACACCATCCACATTAGTCTGTTGCTAGTAAAAAGGATGGGACCATGCTTTGTGAGGTGACCTCATTCATATGTGATTTCCAGTTCTCAGCCCATTTCACTGTTTCTGGAGTCACAACAGTGGTAAAGATGCTTTTAATTTAGACTGAGAGCTGAAGAGTTATAGGGACATGAATGATATATCTTTACATGATTCCACATGCCACTTTAAATTAGATCATTTAGAGCCATAAAGTTGGCTCATTAATTAATCATTAAATTAAATCATTTAGAGCCATAGAGTTGGCTCTAAAGTTTGGGGAGATCATCAAAGCACACAGTCTTTTGTACTTTTAGAACAAGGAGGCACAGAAATGTCTTTTGTACGGTCCATCAGGGCATTGCTACTGTTAAAAACAAAAACTAATCATTTGAGAAAAGACATTAAGTAATTTGCCAAAATAGATTAAGGAGGGAGTGGGGTTTAGTTCCAGATGTTCCAATCTGTAGAACTTCAGGCAAGACCCCCGAGTAACACCTCTGAGCTCCAGATGTGGAGCAAAAGATGTGGCTGGACCAAAGGAACAAGAAGTGCTAACATCTGATTCATCAATGAATTTTGAATGATTTCTACATAAAAGATGCTGCACTGTCATTATTTCACAAATAAGACCCTTAAATGAAGCAAAATAAGCCATCCTAAAATATGCACATTATTTTGTAGTGCAAATTACTGACTAACTTGGAAAACTGTCAGAAGAAAGACCTTAGATTTTGTATAGGAAGTGAGTAGCACATGTAATAATGCTGGCTACAAAAAAATACACTGAAATTCTCTACCTCCTAAATCTATTTTTTTGTAAAGGTCAGGTTAACGAGAAAAAACATCTTGTTGATGGTTCTATTTGATGTAATTAAATAAATTGTTTTTCAAAGTAGTGGATCACAGCTTATGAAAGAATAAATTTTACCTTAATTGATAAGTAGTTAAAATAAATATTTTGCTGTAAAACTTGTCCCTGAAAAGAGCTTTGGGATTCTGGAACTAAATTTTTTTAAAATATAGACAAACACTTTGCTGCATTAGAAAGTGAAATAATTCATGCAATTAATCAGACTCTAATTATGGTCCAACTGAAGAATAACTAACCATTGATGGCATAAAGTATTAGAAATGTGGAATACATTTGCATCTTTTAAACATGAAGTTTAGAGAAAGAAACAAGCACAATAAAAAAGGATACCAAATTATGAATAAAATCCACATACCTCCAAATGTATTCAGAGTAAGTTTCTGTCTGAAACTCAGAGATGCTTGATCCTTTAGATTTCTTCCAACTATGAGCTCAATTTATATCATTCATGGAATCTAGAACAACCAATCAAGTTTCTGTAGGAAAAAAACGCATTGAGCATAACTGAAAATCCCTGTATCATGAATTTTCAGAACCCATGATCAAATGTAAGGCTGTATGTTGTGATTAGTGCATATAGACTCTTTCATTATGGGCAATAATAGGTTTAACAGGCAGAAAGTTTCATCAAGCTGTTTGGAAGTCAGCAAATTAGTTGACTGCACTTGCTGATATATCCAAATTTATTTTTAAGAAGCTGCTATACCATTGTCTATTCTTTGGTTCTAGCAAACCATGTTGTTCTTTACAAATGACAAGCTAGATGGTTGAGTTTCTCTAGTGTAATCACGATGTCCACTAGGGTTCCCCAGCTCTTTCAGATCAGGACAAATTGATTCAAACCCCTTTCTGGTAAAAACCCAAAGCTCTCCCTAGTATGTCTCTGAGGGATTGTAATGTCAGAATCACCACTGCTCCCTTCTCTGCTTGCATGGAAGGTGTTTTTTCTGTTCCCTGTAGATGCTCCGTTATCACCACTCTGGTGTCCACCATATGAGAGGGGACAAAGTTCCTTCTTCTCAGCCCCATCCTGACACCCTTCTGCCATCCAAGCAACCATGAACTCAAGGTTATCACAGTGGCAAAATTTGTACTGACAATCTGAAGGACAAGGGAGGGGACACATTATACACCAGACAGCACACCTAGAAATGCATTTTGATCCTTGCAAACCAACACCTATCACAGGGGATGTTGACCCACCTCCACACCCACAGAGTGACTCAGCCATGCTCAGCATGGTGGCCTCTCTTTACCCACCACTTCTGGCCCAACCCTACTTTCTCACAGAGAAATTCCTCTCTTTCTTTTTCAGAGCCTCTTAACTGTCTCTTGAGTTGCATTGTCCCCACGTTCTCAGCAGCTTCCTCTTTGCCTAAACAACGAGCAAAGCCATCACTGTCTAGGAGGACTTCTGATTGAGCTATTAAATGCATATGCGTTTCCCCCCCACCACCACCTTAGTAAAACACATGGATTTTTTTTTCCTTTTATTCTAGAACCTGATCTAAAAAGCAAATCTGTAGCTAGTGACAGGAGGTAACTAATGAGTTGTCCATCGATATTAGATCAGTGAAGGAAATACTCAATATATACCCAGATATAACTGATGTTATATGCTGGATCTCTTTGAATACTTACATTATACTTATGAAGTTTGTGCATATACATATACAAGGGTACTTCACAAACTTCGTGGAAAAATGGAACTAAAAAATAGTACAATTCTTTCCATGAACTTTTTGAAGTTCATATTTTTTATATATGCTTCACATTGGCTGAGTTAGATTCAAGGAGAAAATATCCATGAAAGGCAATGTAGTAATTTTTAAGAGCTAGAACTTAGACTTGCATAGATTCTGACCCTAGCTTCACCATGGCTTGAGGGAACATTGACAAGTTACTTAGCCTGTCTGAGCCTCAGTTTTCTCATATGTAAAATGGGGATAATAATAAACCCTTTTAAGAAGATTAGTGTGAAAATTAAACGAGAGACATCCCTGGGGAAATGGGAAGCTATTTATCGCCCTCCCCAAACCTATCAGCTGGCACACAGTAAACATTTAAAGAATGTTAGTAAATGGAACTCTAAGATGATTGTTGGGAATGAGTTAGGGATGAAGAGCTATTCTGAAGAGAGGTAGACTTCAATCAGAGAGAGAGATTGCAAAGAAGAAAGTGGAAGTGGATAGGCAAGATGCATGCATGAGAGTGAACACAGAATATGGCTCTAAAGGCCAAACGTGCCCAGGGTTTGCCTTTATTTATGAACGTATCTATTGTTGAATTTTATATTAGAGGCAAGAAGGATCCTGTTGCAAAATGGATCTTAGAATTGGCAGGAGTGTACAGCAAGGTGGTGAGGGACAGTAAGAAGGAGAGGAAGGAAAATGTAGATCACATTATGTTTTCTTTCATCTTTTCCCATATTTTATTTAATTACATGTATTAGAGTGCATGAAAGGGTTAAGGACATATTTTTCCTACACAATTGTGGGTAATCTCTACTAACAAAGTCATTGATGAATTACTAGTGGTCTTGTAATTTTACAAAATTGATCTCATAACTTTACCTCACCTTTCAAGAATGAGAGGGTGGTATGGCTGGCCACAATGATCAACAGCATGCTTCCTTACTGTGGCGTTAATTCATCTGGCCCCCTGGACAGTGAGTTACTGCTGAATCACCAGGGACAGTTGAACAGACTTTGATGGCCAATTCCATAGAAATGATGTGGTTCTTTCTATTTATTTTCCCCTACTGTATATCCTGAGTCATAGGTTATTAAAATATGGATCTCTCTGTTTGAAATCTTTCCACTAATGTAGATCTCACTTACACAGTTTAAGAATCACTGAAAGTTTTGGAGGAAAATAACAAAATTTAAATCAAGAAATTGTTCCTATAAGCAATTACTTCATTTATGAATAAGTTGACTTTATAAAAGAAAACAGAATTTACTAGATTGACTACTTATTTTGTTATATAAAGGCTATAACATTTCCAGAGCATTTGTGTTCTTGTCTCTCTTGCTCTTGGAGGTCAAATATTTACTTCTCTTTTTTAAAAATTACTCTTTTAAAAATGGATCATGAACATAAAATATGTTCCACAATGGCAATATCTCTGGGACAAGTGCAATGATATGGCCCAGGAATGTGTCTTTATTTACTTCTGCATTCACTGCAAATATGCATGTTGAACCTCAGACTGTGCTTGATACAACAGGGGATAAATACATGCATGGATTTGCTACTGTTTCTAAAAGCTTTTCTCTAAAATGAGTGAATAAATGCCCTTACAAATTCTAATTGAGTTATTTTGCTCATTTTGTTGTAGTGTTTCCTCTTCTGGACTCACTGCCCATCACATTTGGCTGTTCCCACGGTGCTTGTGCTAGCAACTTCTCCCCCTCTCATTTGCTGCTTCTAATTTACAGTGTGCTGGAAAACCATATGCCCAAGCTTGTTAGAAGGATGTGTGGACTGCAACTAAGCGGGGGTGGCCTGGCAGGGGCTCACCTGGGAGATCAGCTCAAGAATTCCAGTCTTGCGCATTAATTTTTGACAGCTGAGAGGGTATCTTATTTTGTTTTGGGGTCCTCCCTTCCCGGCTTACTTCCTCAGCAGGATTCAGGGCATGAGAGTAGTCTTTGGGTAAGTCAGGTATTATGAGTTCTAGAAGCCTTTCTTATCTTCTATAGGAGCTCAACTCTTGAGTCTTCTTTTAAAGCAGGTTCGGGATTGTCCAATATTCTGGAATAATTTATTATTTTTATTTGATTTATTTATGGTGGCTTGGTCAGTATGGGGATTCAAATCCTTGACGTTGGTGTTATCAGCACCATGCTCTAACCAAGTGAGCTAGCTAGCTGGCCAGCCCCTGGAATAATTTTTAGGAGTGTTTATTCTTAAGTAACTGGAACAAAAGTCAGCTTTTAAATGTTTCTTCTGTAGACATTTACTTATAAGAAAATATCATTCTCTAGGATGGTTTTTGCTGGGGTGGAGATAGAGTTGTACCCTCTTCAGAACTTAGGCATGCCACCACTAGTTGTGGTAATATATATTCTGACTTCTACCTCTTTGCAATCCTTGGAAGCAGGTATTGTGTCTTATACTTCCTGGGAAGCTCTTCGGTACCTAGAAAACTCTCTTATACAAAATCAGTAAATTAATTGATTTTGAAGTGTCCTGAAAAAATCTATAAAAATAAATGTGTTGATCAGATCATGAAAATGTAAGAAAGTTATCCATGACATTATGAAAATATAGAAAATGACTTTAGTTGATGTGGATTCTCCATAGACAAAGAAATCCTGCAGTGATTTAGATGGGCCTATTGAAAATGGATAATTCAGCATTGCTATCAACTGTGCTTATGGACTTTCCTACAAACGACTTCTGATAAGTACTTAAAAAGGGAGACGCTGGAAAAGTATGAGAATCTATTATCCTAACATCCTTATTACATTTGGCTCTGACCTCTTGGTTCAAATTATGATATACTACAAGCAACTATACTATGATAGATAAATTTGATTTTTCCTTATTTGTGACTGAGTTTATTTGCTTCATATAACAAAGCTTTCTTGTTATTATTATTGGTTGTAGTTTTTTAGGCTTCAAGCATCACTTCAGCCCTAGGAGTAATTTGAAAAGAACCCAACCAAAAACCCTCTCTTACCTATGTCCACATACTTTATTGTTTGCAAACAATCAGCACATATTCCAAAATACACTGAAATAAACTGTGTTATGGCTGATTGTTTGAACTTGTGAAAAAAAAGGGGGGTGGTGATCTTCCACTGGCTACCAACACTTAATAAGTGCATAGACTTGGGATAAGAAGCGTAAGGAAAGCAACAACAGAGAAAAGGGCCAGGAAAAAGAAAGGCACATAGAAGAAGGGAGAAATGCATCGTGATGGGAATTTCAGGGTTTGATCCAAGGTGGTGACAGGGTCAGCAAGCCACAAGTGTCCTGAAAAAAAGTGAGGAAATTTATCAATGAAACAACAGGAAAGAGAAGCATTGTGCAGTACAGGGAGGTGGCCTTAGGGCCACCAGGCCCTAAACATATCCCTCCAAGGTCAAAATTGTGCTATAACTTCAAAAGCCATTATTAAGCACATAGTATATGCCTAACACAACCATCGGTCCGGGAGTACAAAGATGAACAGGACAGTGGCCCGGTTCTCAAACTGTTCAGGGTCTCTAGAAGAACTCTCCACTGTAAGCTGGGACAGAGAATACTGGAGTGGACACTGGAACAAGTTGCCCTTCTCACTTTCAGGAACCTAATACACTCTGTGCCTGCATCTGCATTTGTGGACCAGAAAGGGGTGAGGAGGAAAGAGAGGGAGCACAGTGACACTGAAAGGTGTCGGAGGCTATGGTAAAGGTGGGCTGTCCAGAAAGTTCCCATGGTTCTTTGGCCACATCAGGATGGAGCATATTACTTGCATATAGGGCCTCTTCAGTCTTCCAGCCTAAAGTCCCAGACTTTCCACCTCTGCAGTGATTGTGCATTAACTGATACATACACACTGAGTCCTCAGGCAGGAGTTATTATATTCCAGCCAGTGCGTGCTGTTTCAGAGGACATAAGAAGTAGATAGTTTATGTAGTGACATTTAAAACACAATACCTATAAGGATCTGGTTCCTATCAATTACGGCACACATAACATTCGGGATGAGGCTGTCCCTCTGTATTTGTCTGCACAGAAGGATGTATGTGACACATTGCTGACTGGAAAAAAATAGAGTTTTTAAAATCCCCTTTCTCTAAAATCCTTTTCCCTCCCTCTCCCTTCTCTCCATTTTGGGAGACATTTACCTAAACATTAACAGTAGTTATCTAAGGGACTCATTCCTGAAAGTCTCTGGATAGCCAGGATTTTATTATATTTCTTTTAAATAATCTGTGAATGCAATAAATTCAGGGGAAATATAGGAAGTTTGGGGTACAGTATTGCTCATTCATGTTTGGCAAGAGTGACGAGTGATAGTGCTATATCTTCCACAGGCCCTGGGTTTATTTGATGTTCATTGTTAGCGGAAAAAATGTTGAATATAAAATCCAAGACAAAAAAAAAACACATTTTTTTTAAAGCCAGAGAACCCTTTTAGATTATGAGTAGAAAATATCTTAATGTAAGCATTCACAGAAAGAGTTTATACAGCTTGTAATTTGGAAAGTCTGTAGGCATTTGCTAAATATCTGGTGGAACAATTTTCAGTGAGGGAAATTATATGCAGATGGATACTGTGTTTTTTGGGTTATGATTAACTGGTAACTGTCGGGAGTAAAAATGTTACATCCGTGTTAACAGAGGTAGCATGGTAATGTAAAAACATTTACAAGCATTTTTATTTCTGTTTATTGGGCAAAATACACCAAAGTAAGTTGCACTTTCCTACTGGGGTTCAACGGACACACACACAGAATAGTAGTTTCTAAACACAAGCAATGTGCTATGGTGGAGAGAACTCGGTCTTTGCCAGAGGACAGCCTGGGTCAGAATCGTGGGTGGGCCATTGAGCCCTGATGCCTGACCTTATGCATGGGCCTGACCCCTTTGTGTACTTACCTTGATACTGGAAAATGGGAAAGCAGCAGTATGGGGAAGCTAGTCATGTCATTAAGTATGTATTTGACTCCTCTTAAATATGATTTCCAGTATCAAGAGTGAGGATTTTAGTAATCACTGCAGAAGGAAAGAGAGCAAATTCAAGGAAACAAAGGAAATAGCACACCAATCAAAAGTCTGGAAACTATCATTCTCACTTATTTGATATACAGGGTTTTCTTCTCTTGTTCTTGGGCAGAAAATTCAGTTTGGTAGCATACTTTTTGTCTTCATCACTTAAGGAAATGCCCACAGGGACATAAATGTAAAATGTCAGAATACTATTTTCATATCACCTGCTAATTCCACAGGGAACAAGAAATCCGTGGTGGGACTTCAGTACCAGGGATGTCACCAGTTCCAGCTGTGTTGTCATTCTGGTCCCCATTTCAGCCAGTGTTTCAGCTAATGGCCCCTCTAACATGGACAGAGCCCCGAGGGCTTTCCAGATGGTACCCTCTTCATCACTTCCCTAAATATATAAAATTCAGTGATAGCAGTTAAGAATTATTCTCTATAAAAAAAATCACATCATGAATGGTACGTCTGCTGAGAGTGTAGACTAAGACCTGAAGTTGATATGATTCGGAGAAATAAAGCATATCAGGGACAGGACCAGAAATTGATTTAGTTCTGTTCACATACATTTTGTTACGGGGATTGTTTACTTGAAATGAAATTAAACAGATGCAATAGCCTGTTACATAATCCTGTGGGGGTGGGTGCAAGTTTGCTTGAATTGTAGATAACATTTTTTCTAGTATAATGCTGAGAATTACGTTACCTTTAGAATCATATGATCTCTCTCTCTCTCTCTCCCCCCCCCTCTTCTAATCTTGACTGGTGCATCTTCTTCATCATTGCTGTGCTCTTAGCACCGTCATAGTCATCTGCTAAGCCTACTCTCAGTAGCACTCTTCATATCTCCAGAATTTCTAACCCATCAGAATGAAATATTTCCTGAGCACCTGTAATATTAAAGTCGTAGGACACGTATAAATACATGGCATGATATGCATACAATGTGATATTATTCAGCCATAAAAAGGGATAAAGTACTGATAAGTGCTACAACATGGCTAAACCTTGAAAACACCACATTAAGTGAAAGAAGCTGAACATAAAAGACCACATATTATAGGATTCCATTTGTAGGAAATTCCCAGAATAGGCAAATCCTTACAGACAGAAAGATTAGTGGTTGCCAGGGGCTGGGGAATGGGAAGTGACTGCTCATGGCATGGGGTTTCTTTTCGGGGTGATGGACATGTTCTGTAATTAGATTTGCACAACCTTGTAAGTATATTAAAAGCCATTCAACTGTACACTCTACAGTGGTGAGTCTTATGGTATGTAAATTATATCTTGATATTTAACAAACATATTAAATATATATATATGACATGGTCTCAACCCTCAAGAAGTTAACAGTCTTTATACATTATGTAAAATATAGACACCTAAAGGGCTAAACACAGTGTAATGGTGCAGAATAATAGTACAGGGGTTGTTGGGCTGGCCTGGTGGCGCACTGCTACAGTGCGCGGCTTGGGAGCGCGGCGGCACTCCCGCCGAGGGTTCAGATCCCACATACAGACCGGTTCCCGCTCACTGGCTGAGCGAGGTGCGGGCGCGATGCCGAGGGTTGCGATCCCGTTGCGGGTCCCGGTCCGGTACGGGCGTGACACTGAGGGTTGCGATCCGTTGCCGGACACGAAAAAAAAGACAAAAAGGAAAAAAAAAAAGTAGTACAGGGGTTGCCTCATGATGATAAAATTGATGATGATGACTACTATGATGATGATGGAGCTAAGGTTTATTAAGTGTCGGCCTTGGTCCTAAGCATTGTACATATTTAAACATTTATTGACCACCTTCCACATGCCAGGCACATTCTAGGTTCATGAACTACATCTGTGATTAACACACACAAGGATCTCTGTCTCACAGAAAAAAAACTATGAACAATAGATA